CAATGATTAGAATGAATAATCGATAATGCAAAATAGGAAAAGGTCCAAAGGGGTAGGGGTAGTGGGAGGGGTATGGGAAAGGAAAGAAGGGAAAAGAAAAATGATGAGAAATGGAAAAAATGGAAACAAAGTCTTTGTAAATACGGAAGTGTGAAGGGGGTGGAGGGCTAGGAATGGGGGAAAACATAAGAACCATGATGCATCATGTAAAGGTACAAGTTCCCAATAAGAAATGTAAATTTGTTGTATACCTAAAATGTACCAATTAAAGAATTTAAGTAAAAAAAAAAATACAGAAATCCACATACTTTAGGTTCTTCTTTTAATAGTGCTTTGCTAATTATGAAGTGAAGGTGATCATCGGAATAGGCCTGGATTCATCTTAACAGCCCACAAAATATATTAATATTTAATCCATAAAACACTTATTACAGTAGGACACACTACCATTAATCTCACTCAAAATACCCCCTACACCTCACTTCAAACACACTCATCTCATCATTCTTGCCACTTTCTGAAGCAGTTCCGGAAGTCCTCTTTTGTAAGTCTTTGTAAATTGTGATAAAAAATGTGGTGAATGCTGCCACCAAGTGCCAACAGAAAGGCTCATAAAAACATTACTGTGTACCCATCCTATTCACCATGTCTGGCACTGTGCCACAAGTAAACGTTTTGAATCCACTGAGGACATCAAGGCAGCCACAACAGCACAACTAAAGACACAAGATAGGACTTTGAGAAAGTGGCAAGAACATTAGGATAAGTGTGTTTGAAGAGAGGGGAAGTATTTTGAGGGTGATTATGTCAATGTGCCTTTTACTGTGATAAATTTTTTGTTTAAATGTTATTTTTATCGTGCTTTATATGTGCAGAAGAATTTTCCAGTTGTAAAGAATTTATCTATGAAATAGACATCTTTGATATGGCATTTTCCATTGACATTTTCAGAAACCAATTCTCAACCTTTTCTACAAAGAAGTTCTTCCAAAATAAAATTCAAGCATATAGGCAAAAATTCAAATAAGGGGAGCTAGCTAAGCCATGATGGTGATGGACTGAGGTATCAAAGGGGCCACTTCTTTTCACTCAAAAGGTTACATGGGAGAATACAAGTTCAGTGTTGCCACATCTTCGTATTCAAGAACCTTGGCTATCCACATAACATCTGCTGGATCATATCCACCCTAATCCAGCCTCTGACCAAAGCTTCTGATGTGCAAAAGGGCTGGTGATTGTCAAGGAAGGACAGTGTTGTGTACATGGTTTTACAGGAAGCTCACAGTCCACATCTAACCACAGAACAGCTCAGTATGTGTAACATTATCCAATGTCGAAAGTTTCTTTTCAATAAACAAGGAATACTTAAATTTAAATAGAAATTCAGTTATAAATGTCTGACTTATTTATTTATTTTTTATTTTTTGGTACCAGGGATAGAACTTGGGTCCTTGCGCTTGTGCAGCAGGTGGCGAAAACACTGAGCTAAATCCCCAGACCTATCTGACTTATTTAAAAATGTTAGCCACATGATATTCTTCATCAGTTCATTGGCACATTATAAGATAGTACCAAAGAGACCAGGTGCTGGCTGTAAACAAATCTAACTCTGATAATAGGAAAGGATGAATATGATCAAAATACATTATGCACATTGAAACCTTCCCCCCAAAATGTGAAACTAGCGGGGAGGGTGGCAAGGGAATAATAGAGGAATAATTAAAGATGTTATGTGCATGTACAAATGTGCCAAAATTAAACCCATTAATCTGTATAACCAATGTGCACTAAAAAAAGTGGGAAAAAATAAAGTAGGACCAGCTACTACCCAGCTTCCAAGGCTAGTACATCTCCATGACACTTAAAATACAGAACAGTATAGGTTATTTTAAAAGTACTCAAAGAAAAATAAGCCTACAATTTCCTGTATCTACCATGATCCCTCATTGTATAATTTCCAATAATACTGTGAGTTTGGGCAAGTTTGTTTTTATTGGGTCTTAAATCTTTCTCTGTGAAATAGGAATATTCATAAAGATCTCCTGGGCTGAGTCAGGGAATTCTTGGGGAGGTTCGGTATGTATTTGAGTTGCCCTTTTCCAATGGCAGGCAATGAAATGGTGTGTACAGGGTGGAGCAGCACAACTGGACATGAGGGGGCGTTAAAAAATCTACAAGATTATTGGCTTGTTTAGAGAGACCTAGGCTGTGTCCACACTACCCAGTGGTCAATTAAGTGTTTTAAGATATTTTAATGAAAATTTCCTGTGTTGGAACCACATGTGGCACAGTGGACCTAATGCTGACATGACCACTCTCCGCACGACTCCCCTGGTGTCTTTGTTTTAAATTCCATAAAAATATTTTTAAAAATCCTCTTCCTACTTTCCTACAAGAAGGGAAGAGGAAGGATAACATTGAAATGCTTCTTAAGAAAAGTCTCGTTTCAGGGATTGCTTTTGATGTAGGTAAAAAGTACACTTTGAAGCAATAATGGTTGAAATGGCAGCTTCCAGGCCTGCCATTTTCCTAAATGGGTCACTTACTCCCTGGAAGTCTTTTACTCCCTATAAATGCACCTCAAGGTGAAGTAGTGTCTTTGTTGCTTGATCTTATTTGGGGTCACATAAGATCAGATGGATGGGCAAAAAAACTAAGATATTGTTCCATGTACCATAAAGCCTTCTTATATTTTGTTAATGTTTTCTTACAATGGAAAGTCTGACACAAAAGACAGCAGAGGTTACATAACACACCATAAATATGCCTAAGTCGAATTGATCACGAGAACTTAAATTCTCCTTAATGGCATATAGATGCCAATGTTGTCACACCGTCACATCCCTGAAATTGTTATTTATACAATTAGTTGCTCTCATATTTACATTTAAAATTTTGTAGGCTTGGCATTTAACACAAAGTTTTAAGGTATGAAATAACCACAAAAAACATATATGCCATCAGCAAAATGAAGTTTTTACTATTAACATGAGAATAACAATTCTGGTAGGTATCCAGCCAAATGCAAATAGAATTTAGCAAACAAACGGCTATCATCCATTTCCATTTCTGTTGCATGAATGAAATCAAATGATTGTTGCCACTGTAAATAACATTATCCCCCCAATTGTGACAGGACAGGGATAATTAGGGCTGAAAGTTTTCTTCTGTATGTTTCTTAATATACAAAACCTGTCCCATATTATTATAGTAGCATATACATTAATAACATTATGCTTTTAAAATGTGGGCCAATCCCTTATCTGCTTCACATGTTTCTGCATGACAGCATCTGAGAATATGCAGAGATGTGTCTGCTGCAGCCATTAAAACAAGAAAAAAAATGACTCAGATTCTACTTACATTTGAAGAATAGGGAAATAATTAACTTATGAAACCATTTATAGTCTAAAAATTCCGCTTTTAAAGAAAAGACTCATGTCCATAGGTTAACAAAATATTTCCATATAGTTGGCATAAACTGGATCTAAGAAATCACCCTTACTCTAAACAGAGACTACTTCATGTTTAAAATGGTTTTTCTGTGTGACACACATAAGCCATAAAAACCCCCCAAAGTTTTATTTTTCTATGTGAATATGTCATGATTGAGCTTTGGATGCAAAATATTAGAATTGATATGCATTTCTAGAACTCAGTTAAATGGGAAGTGAGGTTAAAATGCTCCCATTTTATTTCTGCTAGCCTAGCAATGAAGTCTAAAAAGCAGAAGTTTTAAATTATCAAAAGTAAAAATATAAATGCACACACAGTAACCCCAATACGTCCTTCTGTTCTTCAAGGTTTATAAAATAAATGTTCTTCACCAATCAGTTGGAGTTCATTCATTTACACCTGCAAATATTTTGCCAAAATCTTATTTAGATACCTTTCAAACCACTTTACTACAATGGTTAAAGGAAAAATTCAAAAGAGAAATAAAATGAAGACCCTTTGAAACATATGTCCACAATTCTTTGTAAAGGCTGAAAGAAGCTGAAGACCACGTGTTCTGTTATGGGTCATCTATTTTGATGTCTCTGATTTGTTCCTCCTGGATATCTCAGAAGTGAGTTCCTTTCAAATCCAGATCAGATGACAGTTTTGTGGCAGCCAGTGGTTACATCCCAGTATAATAAAATCATAAAGCAGGGAGGGGAAGGAGAGTTAAGTAAATGCCACTTCTCATGGCACTTGTATCACAAATGTGAATTTGCTGAAATCCACAACACTCTCCCACCAAGGATGGTGATCCACATGAGAGCTCTGCATTCAAACAACCCTTCTCCGGGATTAACGCACAGCTCTGTCTCTGCTACCGTGTCACCTAGAACAAAATAAATAGGTGAGCATTTGATATCCTGAACACATCACAGAGAACCCTTCCTGCCACGGGACAGTAAGTCCCAGTCTGTGTCACTGGTGTAGTTTATCAGTTTGTACCATTATCTGTAACCAGTCTCACCAAATCCACTCTTCAAACCAAGTCCTTTACATTTCCTTTTAGATTGTAAAGAAAACATGCACAATGTCTTCTATCGTAGGGTATTGTGTACCCTAGATTTGTTCTTGGTGAGGTTATAAAAACCCCATCAGATTAGGCACACTCATTGCCCATCACTTCATGCATACTGAGCATGCTTTGTTAGTGGCACTAACATGTTTTCAAATGAATGCTGGTTAAAAAAAATCTTTGTGTGTCAAGATCAAACTTTTGCCTTTTTTTCTCTTTTAATGCACTTGATCTATTTTTAAATGAAGATTATATTATAAAACTGCTATATTTAATAGAAACAAATTTGTGAAGAAGGGGGTTGTATTTCTAATTTTTAAACATTTAGGCTTGGGCCAGGGATTTAGCTCAGTGGCTTCCCCGCCTGCCTTGTAAGCGCAAGGTCCCGAGTTCAATCCCTGGTACCAAAAAAAACCAAAAAAAAAACCATTTAGGCTTATTACTTAAAATCTGAGTAAAGAGTACTTCAGTTTCTATAGTTTTATTTGGTCATGTAAAAAAATCTGCAAGTTAGTCAATACTCTAGCTTAGAGGGGAAGTAGCTTAAGATTTTAACATGTATATCCAAAGAAAAAATTTTTAAATATACTCTATTATTTGACAGCATAATCATCATGCCTGGTCTCTAGGTCCAATCAGGTATTTATTCAAACCTCAGCTTTGCTAGTGACTAACATATGTATGACCTTTATTTACATACTCAACAACAGAATAGCTCTTTTGTTTGGGTATGCTGCAGCAAACCAAACAAAAGCCTTGTCCTAATGGAACTTGCATTCTAGAGAAGGACCTGTAAGACCTTTCCTATACAGAATTAAATATAGTGCCTATCTTCAGCCTTGCAGCCCTTACAATCCTTGCAGCCACTACACAACTCTGCCTTTATGTCTGTCATTCACAATAGCAGCCATAGATAATAGGTAAACTGATGCGTGTTGCTTTGTTCCAAAAAAGCTATCTAGTAGTTCTGAATTCATATTTCATATAGTTTTCATGAGTTAAAAAAATGTGGCTATTCTTTTGATTTGTTTTCCAATCATTGAAAACTGTGAAATCCATTCTTAGCTCTCAGGTCATAGTAAAACAAGACAAAGCACTGTATTTGATCCATAAGCTATAGCTTACTGACTTAATCCTGAAGAGAAGATAGGACAAATATATGAAAAAAAAATCTGAGGAGGAAATATGTACCATGGAGGAAAGGAAAGCAGGATCATGGAGAACAGAAATCCTGGGATAGGAAAGGTAACTGTTACACACAGGATTCTCAGCAAAGGGGAGAGCTGAGGAGATACTTTAAGGCAATGAGGGGAGACCACACCAACTGGAAGAACTTTCCAGGCAGAGGAAGAGGTAAAGAATAAGGGTGTGAGAGCAGTGCAAAGGCTTTTGCCTTTCCCTGGCTAAAGTGTAAAGATGAAATGAGGAATGCATGGCCTGACTATCCATTTAAAGGGATCACTTTGGCCCAGGTGATGAAAGGGGAAGCCACCAGGACTTCTCATAGATAAGATGTAAGAAAAGAACACAAGGTGAACTCCAAGGTATTTGGTGAGATCAACTGGGTGATAGAATTAACCATATTTTTAGTTGGGGCAGATTATCTCTTAGCCTTCATCTCTTTATCAGCAAAAGATACTTGTCTCCTTCAGTTGTAGTGAAGAGTGAAAACTACATGAATTGAATGCATGGCCCACTGCCTGTCACATGGTTAGTACTTGGGAAATGGTGGCTTTTGTCATGTTCACTCTTTCTGGATGTGTCATGCCTCTATATAGAACCTAAAAGCATTCATAGCCAAGTATCACTCTATACCAAGGACATAATTCTCAAAAATATCTTACTTCACATGGCTTGGTCTCCATACCCAGAGCATTATGGGAAACAACACTGAAAGTTAGATAAGATACTCTCATATTTTGTTTCCTTTAAAGTTATTGTTGTTCCTATTGCATGTGGAAGATTTTATTGCTATTTTTTAAGTTTTGATGGGTACAAAGTTACTAACATGTCAATACTAGCTCCACTCTCAGGCATCAGGGCATCCTGACTGTAGAGATCAGAGAAGACAAGACTTCAGGGTGAAGTAGTTATCTCTGATAGATCTTGAAAAACAAGTGGAATTGCAGAAGGTTGAGAAGACAGCAATGATTTTGGAAATTAAATGGGTTATGTGATGATTGGCAATGAGGGCCCTGAATTCAAGATGCTTATACTTTGAATTAGTTACCAAGGGGGACCCACTGATGGTGTCTCAGCAGGGAAGGAACTGAGCAAAGAGTTTACCCTGGTGACAGAGAAAGCAGGATATAAGTTGATTAAAGATGACAATAGGTAGGGAGCTCAGTAAGACTAGTGCCTCTCTCTTACTACCTATCACAATCACCCTAAGGACATTTTTAAAGCATAGTTTTCTAGGCCCTGTCCAGGTTTACTATCCAGAATATCCTAGATATGGGATCCAAACTGTGTTTTTAACAAGCCCTCAGATGATTGTTCTGTAACCACGATGCCATTAAACCTTGACATTCACCTGGGATGGGAGCCCAAGAGACAGAATAAGATCTCAGGAAGCCATTTGAGGAAGATACTGGGTAGGACTTGGATGTATTATACGTGACAGTAAGGTGGTTGCTGAAGAGAGAATTGTTGTTTCTATTTTTTAAATTTGTCATTTATGATGACTCATACATTATTTTTATCTCCGTTCTGACCAATATGGGTATCATAAATTATTATGATAGCATTAACCAATCCAAAAAATTGAAGTCTCTTAAGCAAATATGTGTAAGTTACTTCTATTCTCACCTCATCCCTCTTGGAGTTTTCCAATATGAAATATTAGAAATTTTTAGATACTTAAACTTTGAAGAACAAAATGAAACAAGAGAACAAGGTAGATAGCTTGCAAAGAGCTATGGGAAAAAAGTACCCTATTTGCTAAAGCAGTTTTTCAAGCTGAGAACTACTGAAATTTTGGGGTCAGATTATGGCTTGTTGTGGGGACTGTCTTGTACTTTGTGGGATGTTTTCTGGCATCCTTGGTATTGACACACAGATGCCAGGAGCATCCCCACCTCAACACAGGACAACCAAAAAAATGTCCTCATATATTGCCAAATGTACACTCAGAGGCAAAACTTCCCCCTGATTGAAAGCTACTCCTCTAAAGATACAGTTCTTCACTCTTAGTGGAGGGTGAATAAAGTAAGAATATTAAAAATATTAATTTCTCAAGATTCAGTGTGATTTACTTCTACTGGCAAACAACACAAAAGCCCTGGCAAAGGCTTGGCTTCAGTGCTAGGAAGACTTTACACTCTTGTTAGAATCCTTAATTCTGACAACTTGAAATAAGCAAAAACTATTCAGCCCAGAGAATGCAGCAAAACCTAGAATTCAATTAGGTCAAGTAGAATTGAGGCAAGACAACAGAGAGAGTTACATTTTCTCACAGGAAGTAGTAGCTACACCTTCTCCAGAGATGCTGAAAATTACATTGGTAGAATAAACTTGATGGCAATGTTTTATATCTGGGAAAGATGACTGGTTAGGGAATTCTCTCTTATTTTCATATCTTCATCTAAGGCCATTAATATCTCAACTGCTTACTCTTCTCATATTTGCATTTAAATGGAATATAAAATTCTGACATAGGTGGCTTATTGCAGATGACTTGACTTTTCTAGCCTCTCTGTGTTTTGATTCTGCTGTGCATGAACTGTTTAAGGAAAATGGAAACTGCTTTGTTATATAGGTAACACCCCTCTAGGCAGGCAATTGCTCTGCCTTTATAGGACTGCTGTCTCTCCTGTGGTGTGTGGTCTGCACCAATTTCAAGACAAAAATGTAGCTTCTAGGGCACTAAGCTCACCACGGAAGCTGGTCTCAGCTCCACAAATGACTTTATTCTGTATTGTGGTCTAACTCATGACAAATAGAAAATGTTTTATGTAGTTCAAGTCACAGTGACTTAGATTAATAAAGGAAACAAAGTTTTATGACTTTCAGATTATTCTCAAGTGGCATATCACTAAAGTAAAGCAGTCCAAGTATCATGATGGCTTGGGGAACTGTATTATGTTTCTACAACTTTTCCAAGTGCTAAATGAAATGTCACTACCATTGAGGATTTAGTTAGTGCAAACTTATATTCCCAGCACATAGAGCCAAAATGCCCCTAAAGGTTTGCTTCCTGCTAATGCCCTCTCTAACTGCACATAAATAGTGAAAGGGAGAGAGAACTGCACTACCAAGAGAACTACTTAGACACATTCTTTTCTGGGATATAGTTGGCTTCTGCTCATGGTCTTGTTTTACATCTATACCTAAAAATCAATACAAATACCATCTTCCAAGTATTATTCCTTGGTCTACAAGAAATATAATAGAAAAAAAATTTAGCACTGATAGATGTAAGACCTTACCTCATTAGAGACTTCAGTATTTTTATTTAGGAAGGACTTAGGGGAAAATGGCTGAAAGGGTCAGGCAGGATAGCAAAATAATCCTGAGGCAGAGTTTGCTTAGCAAGCACACTGGGTTTACAGAGCTGGGAAGTTTATTGGGAGTGACTTGGAAGGAAGGCGGGGAGTGACAGTGGGAATGTTAACCTCCTTGCTCCTTCAACAAATGACTCCATGGATATAAAAGAACACAATCCTCCCTTGGTATCCATGAGGACATGGTTCCAGAACTGCCATGGATACCAATATCTGCAAAAGCTCAATCCCCTTATATAAATTGGTGCAGTGTTTGCACGTAACCTATGTACATCCTGCTATTTACTTTACATCACTTATGGGTTCCTTGTT